TCTCTCTCTCTCTCTCTCTCTCTCTCTCTCTCTCTCTCTCTTGGGCGCACCCTGGGCCGACGCGGCGTGGCCTTTTGGCCCCGGCGTGACGGAGTGAAGGGGGTGCCTTTCGCCAACAGAATTGCCTACCTCCCAGGCGCTAAAGGCGGCCGATTAGTGTGTTTAAAGGGTACTGTTCATTTGAGCTTGGCATTATAGACCTGTGTGTATGGGTTTGTAGTGCCAATCTCAAAGTTTATGGTTCAAATACTATGTGTGGGTGTGATTTTTTTTTTCTCTCTCTCTCTCTCTGTCATTGTTGCGAGAGGCTTTGATTTTTATTTTTCTCGATTTTTTGGGGTAAATGAGGAAGCAAAAGGATTTTACATACATGTTATTTTATTGATTAAATACGAGAAGTGATATACATGTAGGTGTGATGATACAATACGGCGACAGAGTACATGACATCATGTAAGACACAGTACAGACAGTAGCCAATATGTACAACATAATAGACCAAGAGACATTTAAAAAGTCTTATTATAAAAATATTGGATTGAAGGTGGGTGGCAGCAAGTACAAACATATATACAGACACGCCCAAAAACAATGCTTTGACAAACTTATGCATGGCCTTAAAATCTATGATACATGTGACCCACTGTGGGCAGCCGTTTTCCAAATACATTTGAATGAACTTTTCGGCGATGATATTAAGACAATGCATAGCTGCAGAGGCCCCGATCATGGCTGTGTACAAAGCTTCGTATCCGATAAGAATGAGTACAAACAGTCGAGCCCACGGCTGTGTTGGCATAGCAAGCCAGGCTCCAAGAATACAGAAAACATTTGCACACAACGCCATGACCAGTTTAATCAGAATGTATTCCATGCTCCGCGAATCGTCATCAGCCCCTGAAAGTGCGAGCTCGAATTACAATTTTTAAAAACAGTGAGGTTCCTCAGAGAGTGACAGGCGGGCAAATTTTCTACGGAGGTAATCCAACGTCAGCGAATCAAGTCCTGCAAAGGCAATTATGGTTTTGGTATAAGGCTTTTTGGAAAGTACTCCTGCATTTCCTTTGCAAGATCAGGTTTCGCCTGAAGATGGTGTACCATAGCCGCCAATCTCTGAGGGTACAGGTGTACAATTTCATATGCTGCTCTCATGTTGTGGTAGCATGGCATTTTAAAATCACGCTCTTCACCAAAAGCCACAAAATTATAAGTGATGTCATCTCCAAAGACCCAGTCATCAAAAATTTCTCCAATTTTGTCAATTTTACTTTGCAGCGTCTTGACATCGTGACAACGCTCAAGGAAATGGGTCAGCAGAGTGCACATCATTTTGGGCAGGTGAGCCATGCGGGCCTCAATGTCCGCCATATAAGCATAAAACATACGCGCCCGTTTCCAAAGAGTTTCCCATGTGTTCTGCCCGAGATACACATAGCCTCCCTTTTCTCCATGCAGAGGGGAAATCTGTACCACAGGTTTCCCCTCGGCAATGGCACACCGATACTCGTGGAAGGCCGAGTACTTTGTGCGTACAGTATAGGAGGGGTTCTCCATGTGCTCCGCGACAGAACAGCGCCAGGTAAGACAGCAAAGTTGTTCAAACTCTTGAAACGTGAGCGTCACTCCGTGCCCTTGACTATTTTCTATCGACACAAACGGAAGCAACCCCCTGTCCAAGTCTATCCCCATCACAATCTTTTTAGATTTGGACGCGTTAAGCGGTACGGTCATATCCAAAATAGCCGTGTAGCGTGGCTTCTTCTTCGTCACTATGACCGAGTTCAGGACCACACTGTGGCACCACCTGGTGGCCTCAGTGTACCAGCGGTAACTATCCGTACCTGGTGTCGGTGGTGAGGGTCCAAGCGTAGTTTGCTGCGAGTCGATCGATGAAGTGGCCGAATCCTGTGACAAGGATGACGAAGACGAGGAGGGCAAGGATTCCCCAGCAGTTGGAGAGTGGGTCTTCCTCGCAGAGGACTCGATACAGATGGTTCCTTCGCCAAGAAAAAGGGGAGTCAGCCGGCGACGCGGAACCTTCCTCATCGGGGTCTCGCATGGAGATTCGGACGCTGGGCGTTTCCGGTCCTCCTCCTGGAAGAACAGAGAACAGATACTATGAGTCCTATGATGCAGTTTTTTTCACGTAAAGAAAAAGTGCAACGGATACCTTACCTTGGCGACATCAGCAGCTTGCTCGGCGCTTGGAGCATCAGCAGCAGCAGCAGCAGATTTCTCGGCTTCAGCAACACAGTTGCTAAGCACGAGGTTTTCCTTGTTGAGAATCGCAGGACACTTGGGGCACGTTTCGTCCCAGCAAGGCTCAAAGTCTCTTCCGGGATTGGTAGAGCACATGGGCTGTAAGCAGAGGAAACGCAGGATTGAAAATCCGAGTGCGAGAGAGAGAGAGAAAGAGAGAAAGAGAGAGAGAAACTCACCCGTCCAAGACCACACTCGTCCACTCCAGCGGCGGTGGTGGCGTTGGCGGTAGGGGGCAGCAGGTTGACGGCGGCCATGATGAGGAAGTGCAGGAGGTGCGTGCAGCTGAGGCTGATGTGCAGGCAAGGGCAGCTCGGAGCAGAGTGACGATGATCGTTGAGCTCGGTGTTGAGGCAGTCTCTCATACCCCCACCAAGTGCTCCCCCACCCTAGCGCGGGGCCTAAGGGTGGGGTAGCGTAGGTGTGGTGGGGGGCGTCGGTCGGGGCGGCAGTCTCTCATACCCCCACCAAGTGCA